ATTTCAAAATTTATATATAAATTTATTTTTAATATTTTTAAAATTTTAATAGTTAAAAATAATATTGTATATTATAATATAAATTATTTATTATAAATTTAAAATATAATTTGTATCTTTAACAAGTCATATAGTATAAATTTTAAATATAATATACATATATATTTAAATTATTTATTTATTGTAGGATTTTAATTATATAAAATAAATATTTATCATTTGAATTACACAAATTAAAATACTAGTTCTTTATATAAACTACCGGCCTACCAACAAAGTGTGACATGATTGGTAGATTGCCTTAGTCATGTGTATTTGTTAAGAGAGATCAATCTTTTCTGTTGATCTCAAAATCTCTAAAAACAAAAATTCACTAGTCTGAGTTTGACACACATTCAAATCAACAATTAATGCTATCTAAGTGAGAAAGTTTTAATTTTTTAATAGATAAACATCAAGTAATAATTAAAATATTATTTAAAATTATTGATTGGTAGTTTTTTCACACAATTAATCAATAGTTATGAATTTTGATAACAACTATTATTAATCACCCCAAAACATTTTAAATAAAAAATCACTTCCTTAAAATTCTCCATTCAAACATAAAACTATGAAATATTAGAAGAAAATAATTTCATAGAATATAATCGTGTGATGGATTGGTCATTCATCAAAAATACATGTCGAAAAGTCCGCAGCTAATGTCAAAGAGTTATGAATATATTATCTCAATAAGAAAATTTTATAATGAACAAAACTCCTTAAAAAGTGAGCAATCTCACTCTCAATTCAAGGTCATATTTTCTCTTATTAGAGTGATTTAATTTGTTACAACTCAACAAGTCCTTACATTTTATAGTTTAGTAAACTAAGCAACGAAAAACATAAATCTAACAATTAGATTTACAAAATTCACATTTAATTATTAATAACAAAGATTATATTCTATGCACATTTTTTTAAAGATAATTTTGCTCTTATAATCAACCATTTCTCAAAACTATACATTTCAAATTACTATTTCTTTTTCCAACATTTTCAAAAACTACACTCACAATAACACTCATTTAAAAAGTTATTATTTATTATTTTCTTTTATTTTTTAAAATATATAGAGTGTCTTTTCAAGTAATTTACATATAACGAAATATTCCTTTTAGTAATTATTTTTTGTCTTCTATTTTTATAGACTTTTTTACTTCCTTAATTATATATATTTTTCATTTTAATCAAAAATAAAAATTGATTGCTCTTAAAATAATTATTTTTTATTTTAATGAAAAATAAGATATTATAATATTTATTTATTAAATTTTATTAGTAGGGCAGAAACTTTTCCCCTACTAATCTTGATGAAGGTTACAACTGTTATGAGTCAAATATTTGACCGAGATAGGGATCAGCCGTCAGCGGTCTATATTGGACAGCTGATTCTAATGTTGTCGTTCTTATCTTTATCTCCGAAAAGGAAAGGACTATATGTTTGACTTTATAAAAAGTTGTTTCTAATTTTTCAACCCATCTTTATTTTTGTATGATTTTATCTAGAACAGTTAAACTTATTATAATTCTTCGAACCCGATTCTGTAACTCGGAAAAAATCCAAATCTGAATCCTATCAAAATAGATTTTCTTTATGTGATGATGTAATGGGAGTCTCCTTCATCCATCGGGTTCCTCTTTAGTTTCTTTGGGCTTTTGCCCTCCTTTTAATTAAAAAAGAAGAAGATTTTCTTGTGAAAGTTGACTTAGTGTAAAACAAGAGCTTACATAGTCAAATTTAGCTGCAGTTGTAATATCTAGTTATGTGTATGACAAGTATAGTGATTTGTTTGATGTATTAGAGTTTTTTTTTTACCCATAATTATATTAGAGTTATAAGCTATAACTTTTAAATTTAAAGTAATTTTTAAGTTAAAAAAAAAAGCCAAACAAAACCTAATAATCAATAAGTAGAAAAAGTAGTAATGATATATATATATATATATATATATATATATATATTTTGTTACATATATAACACTTATCTCTCAAATTTAAATCACTAGTAGAAAAAAAGTTTTTAAAATCGGTTATTTTTAACTTTTAAAATCGGTCCTCTAAC